TCTGTCTACTTATAGGGTTTAAGGTACATTTGTTCAGGCTCAGGCACTGAGCTCAGTCCTAGGTTTTAGGGCTTAGGGTCAAGGGTTTAGGGTCTAAGGTCAGGGGAGTCAGGGATTTAGGGTCGCTTTTCGGTTTAGGGTCAGGATGCCCAAGAAACCTTTTTTCAATCGGTGCATCATATAAACCTTACATATACAAACCCTCAATATGCATAGTCTCCCCCTTAAACAGATGGCAGGCATTTTGAGTCGTCAAAATTATGTGGGATCCGGATGATGCATTTCGGTCCCTGCATAGATAATAAATCATTGGCTGCTCTAGTATCAAGTCTCCCAAATCCCAATACAATACCGTTTTCTGTTGGCAATACCAGGGTACCATTACTGGGGGGGGGGGTGAGGGTTTTTTTGGCGCAGCGGGGGCTACCTGAACAATCATTCCCATTCCGACTCCCTCTACTTTGCGTACAGGGGACACCTTTTTTCTTTGTTTGCAGTTTATTTTTTTTCAGGACACCCGGGGCCTCCAAAATCGCAGAATTGTTTTTTTTGAAAACCGCTCGTGTCCGCTAGTTGCTGCTCACCTAGCTCATGAACTTGTATAGCCTGCACCCCCTCTTCCTTTGAGGCCAGCTCCAAAGACTGCGCCTTTGCAGTGTGGGCACCTGGCGTCAACCACACACAAGTATACCTTGGCATGTCCGAAAGGCCAAGCGAGACAGTGTCATGAGGCCATGCCAGCGACGTTGAGAGTTCAACCGCGCAGGACATTTTACAACGAGCCATAAAGGCTCGCTGCAGTGTTGGCCACGCATTCAACTGTCAGCATTCTGCGCGAAGGCTGCGCACGTCAGGTTGGGCAACGCTTGCAACCAAGCTTGCTTGGATTTTCCCATTCTTGCTGTGCACGCATAGTCTTGCTAAGGCTCGAGAACCCACCAGGAGTAGACTCTCTCCACTTGCTGCGACCTCTTGATTGAACAATTTCGAATCCACACAGCCAGAAAAGTTGGACTGCTGTGGAAGGCTTCAGTTGTGGCGCCTGGACCCTTTAGAGGAAAGGATTTTCCTTTTCATAGCCCTTCTGATATACCCAAAGCAGTTGTGGCAAGGCTGGCCATCTAGCGGCACAGCAAGATCACTTAGTGCGACCCATATGCGTAGACTAGATTATGCAGAAGCTGTTCAAATTCCAGATTCTTAAAACATCTCTACCCTCGTCATGAAGGGCCAGTAGTACGTTGTGTTTTGTTTTCCGTTTTCTGGCCTATCTCGCACTGTACCCTGAAGCCCTGGGATGGAAAAGATGTTTGAGTCGCCTCGGCTACAGTTCTGGAGCCAGTACGGATACTGAATGCAGACCATGCCTCTACATACAGTTTTGAAGAGCATCGTGCAAGAGGCCTTCCACTATTGCATCAACATTCACAGGCAACAGGGCTCAGTACAAGTATGCGCCATCACAGGTACTTCAGGGTAAAGGGGAGGGCTGTGAGTTGTCCTCGGTAGCCATGGCAGACTTGGGCGACCTGAAGGTTGGGAGCAGGTGCTCACACTGTTTTGCCAAAGCCTTGAGCTGCAAAGCTTGCTAGGCATTGCTAGCAAGCGCACATATCATTGCAAATCGTATCTTAGAAGCCGCGAACTGTTCCGGGTTTGCGGGGCCATCTGCACTGGAGGCTGACCTGCTGGGCCTGTGTGGCCGCCGCTTCCTTTCAGGTGGACGCTGAGATGACGCGTCAAGGCGAATAAGCCCAAGCGCATGCGAGAGAGCTTCAAGAACAGACGGTCTAGTGGCCCCATTCTGCCTGTCGGGTGGCTCTTTGGTGTTCGTGCTGTGCCGAGTAATTCTGTTTGTAGAAGGCTTGGTGTCCTAAGCATCCGTGAATGCGCTCTGAGAGCATTCAGCTTTGCTTGATTTTACATCATCCGACCGTGCTTGATTCATCACTACTACTGTAATGTCTCGTTCTCACGTTGCTATTCTCTCGATCTTTCATAACGACTGCATCAAGAAATCTTGCTTGCTTTGCGTCACCCATTTCTTCAAGTCGCGCTCCCTACATTCTATACCTTAATATCCGGCACCACCTCAAAGCAGCTCCACTGGACGACATATGGAAGTTTCCCCAAAAAGGCATACTTTTGGGGGTGCCCAACAATGAGGATTGTAGTCTGTTGAGATCTATATTGGGACCCCCCCTACATATATAGAAACTGCCACATGTTTCTAGCATTGTCTCACCGAGCTCACAAGGGCATTTCATTGTTGCTCCAACTTATGTACGCGGTCGTGTAGCACAGGTTGAGTTTGACCTTGACAGCATCATCAGTGCTCGAGGACATGCGGGGACCTCAGATGGTTTGAATACCAGCCAAGTCGAGCAGTCCATCCAACGGCTACCTTCCCAGCTTTCGCTGCGCTGAAGTCAGCGCAAAGTCAAGCTTGACATGTACAAACCACGGGAGCTAGCTGAACTTGATACTTGAGTTCATGAATAGCTGGGCAGTCCCTTGGCATGCAAGGCGCTGTTCGGTTCTTGGATGACATGGAATCGTCAATCGCTACCTCTTGGAGTGATGTGCTGTCAGGTCGTCTCCAAGATCGGCCGAGGCTATCTTATTTGTTCCACTAAGCAATCCCTGTCCGTCCACGCGGCAGAAAACCGACATGCAGCAGTATCTTGTAGTATCACCTTCCCTGAGAAATGTAGGCTTACATGGTGCTCGCCATTATCACTTTGAATGCAACATCCTGACAGCACCTCTGCGCTGCAGCAGATGGGCTCTGATAGAAGCACGAGCCCAAGGAAACGGTAGAAGGATGGAGGGCACCGCGTCAGATGGCCTCGAAACTGCTCTGAAGGAGTACTTTGGCCACGCAGCCTTCCGCGGCAACCAGCTTGAGGCATGTCTCCCAAGGGCTGGCCAAGCCAAACTTCCCTACTTCCAACATCTTCCAACCATTTCCAACCGCCTTCAGTAATAAGAGCAATAAGCTCTTTTAAAGATTGTTCTATCCCTGGGAGCTGAGTTGAGCACCACATTATGCAGCGGATCATCCATACCCGCTGTAAATCAGCAGTAATAGTAGTCATGGGAACAAAGCCAACAATAGATTTAAGATAGTACTGGCAAACTTCCCTCGCCGCCAGGTGGTCCAGGCGATCTTGAGAGGTCGGGATGTTGGGGTCTTCTGGACGACGGGTGCAGGGAAGTCGCTGTGCTACCAGCTGCCTGCGGTTTTGGGAAAAACCGTCCTGGTGGTCTCCCCGCTGATCTCTTTGATGCAGGACCAGGTCCACCGCTTCAATGCGCCTCTCGGATTAGTCCAAGCTGAGCTCACCAGCTTTGACTGTTTGTTTTTCCACTGGCTTTCAAACCAGGACTGTGGGTGCTGAGGGCTCCTCCCGCCGCCTCCGCGCCGTCTTCCTGGGCTCGGCCCAACTGGACCCGCACGCGGAGGCCGCCGCACTGGCCGGGGAGTATTGCTTGGTCTACGTGACGCCGGAGAAACTCACGTCCTCCAACTTCCTCTCACGGCTGCGGAGCATCCCGAATATGCTGGTGGCCATTGATGAGGCCCATTGCATCTCTGAGTGGGGGCACAACTTCCGCCCAAGCTACCGCAGCCTCCGGGCATTGCGCGAAGAGTTGCCCGATCTACCACTCATGGCGCTCACAGCCACCGCATCGCCCCGGGTCCGGGAGGACCCTTGTGTGTGAAGAGCACTTCCCTTTTCAGTTTCTCAAGAGACCAAAAGCCACGAATCCTGATCCCCAACTCCTTCCTGCTTTGCTTTCCTATATGCGAAGACTCCTTGTGACTGGGCCAAGGATATCGTGCAGCAGTTGCAGCTTCGAGAGGCGTTGCTCCCTGAACCTCAAATAAGCTATAGTCTAAATTCCTTAAGGGGGTTATATAGGGCATCACGCAGGCGAGTAGAAGAGGTGTTATCAATGGGGATACTAGGAGTTTAGACCATAGCTCAAATCGAGGTTTCATAGTTTCAAGTCCATTTCCTTCCGCCTAAACTCTGGACCCTGAGCTCTCCAAGCCATGTTAAACCCTAAACCCAAAATACCGCATATCCCAACCCTTACAAAATCTCTAGATAACCTCTAGATAACCCCTTTAAAGGTTCCAGTTACTCCACTTCCACTAGGCGCTGCTCTCCCACAGCTCTTTCGACCGCCCCAACCTGCAGATCCGCTGCACACGGAAAACCTCCAAGGACACACGTTCTTTCATGATACTTACTGGTTCTTAGTAGGGATAATAACCCTCATAAAATCGGTGTATAATATCTTCCCATATTTCATATACAGTAAGTACTTGGGTTTGGTGTCTCCAGAGAGATATGTATATGCTGGGCTTGATCTACTTACCTAAACACACGTGTTGTTCATGTCTATCCATCTGTCTTACCTCAGCATCTATCAAACCTGATTATGATGTTCTGGTTCCATACGTTTCCGGGTTGCGGAAAGGCGGCCGACTATCGCAAGATTGCTCAAGACATCACGGCTATGAAAGGCAGCACCATCGTGCAGCTAGGCTCATGTCATCCCAAAAGTGGAGAGGACAACGCCAGTAAGACAGGTCCGAACTTGCAGCTGTTTGGCGCACTCTATGAAAAGTTAAGTAAGCAACGGAGAATGTACTGGCAAATCATTGAATTTCAGAACAGAGAATGGTAAGCTGACGCATGAACAAGCGAGCGGGGGAACAATGCAATTGGGCAATTTTGAACGAAGGAGCCGTCAAATGAAAGCCTGCATGACTGAATTTTTCAAGTGAGGTACAAGACCGAACGGAGTTGATGCCTGGAACGAGCGGCGAGCGGAATGCATGAAGAAATGACAGACGCGGCTAAGCAGCTTCACCCGCTTCCAAACCGGCAAAGCTCAGAGCATCATGAGCTGCACAGGGAGTGCAATCCAATGCCCATACTTGAGAATTAACAAGTGTTTGCGTAAGCACATATCAGATGATGTGCTTGGTGAGATAAATCCGCAGGAAGCACCGATAGGAAGCTGAATCCACGAGCAGTGCTTTGGCGCAATGACCAAGACATATCAATCATCCGGCAACGAGACTAGCAAATGCAGATATGTCATTGAAGCATTCTACGGTGTAAGTTGACACGTACATGTGGAGTGTAGAAGTGCATTCTAGATACATAACAGATGATGTGCACACTTGCAAACACGTGAATGCGTGAATGCAGCCAAGATGTCACAGATCGGATGGAAAAAACATTACCGAAAGAATTCATGGGATGGCTAATGAAGTGAATGGACGGTAGCATTGGCTGGCGGAGCAAACAAATGGATGCAAAGGAGTGACCAAGGGAAGCGGGTGCCAAGCGCATGGAATGGAGTGTAAGTCAGAGGAAAGCAATTGAGAAGTATATGAATCAACGGCTGCTTTTCCTATTTTTTCGAAGCCCTTTTCGTGCCTGGCTCGGAGCAGCCGCTTTCAGCGAGCAATAACCTGTTGAAAGAAGAGAAGAATGAATACATGTGAATGAACAATCCCGGTATCCTCGATGAGAGTCAGGGGGGAGAATGCGAGACAGAGACAGCGACAGCGAGAGACAGCGATGTTCGGAGGGAAGGCAGAGCGGTGAGAAGAAGAAAAAGGCGAGGAGGAGAGAGACATGGAACGCTGCAGCGGAAGCAAGAAGAATGAGGTACGTCATGACGCAAAGCGAGACCGAAGCGCTTGCCAGCTTTCTCCAGAATGCTGGTCTCAAGGTGGCCGCCTACCACGGCAGTTTGTCTCTAGCCGAGCGTGAGGAGGCACAAGGGGCAGCTGGGAATGTCGTGTAGGGGTGCAAGGTAATGACAGCTTGCGGTTTGCGCTTTAAGGTCCAGTCTAGGCTGTGGGGCTGAAACCTGGGTTTAGGCGTCTGTACCCTGGAACTAGGCCCACGTGTCGTTCCTGAACGGCCAGATCCCGGTCATTGTTGCTACTGTGGCGCCTTCCGGCCGCAACCCAATCACGCTCCTGCAGGTCGTCTTTGAGAACATGCCCTGGAGCTGAGTCCCCTTCTTCGGCCCTAAGACCCTCGAGACTCTAAAGAACAACTACATGGTAGAAGCCCAGCGCACATTGAAATTAAGCAAGACGCTGAGACGCCTTTGAAAAAGAAGAATGCTGCAAGGGTTGCAAGGCTTCCGTTCTCTTGAGTGGCCTGTCTTGGCTCCGCCTGTCGATCACTCCCTGTCTTTTGGTCTCTCCCCTCCTCTCTCTGTTCCCACCTCACGTTCTGTTGGATTCACATCGACATCCTCCCTTTTTCAGCCTGTGCGCGCTGCCTTTTTGTGCGTCCTCTCTCCGTTCTGGGTACAACAAAAACTTCCTGAAACTGCAGTTTTCCGCGTTCAACGCCAACGAAAGCAGCGGTCGAAGCCATGGAGGTTGGCCATATAGGTCAGTGCAGAGAGCATCTTGCGAGCATGTGTTGACCCAGGTTTGGGATGGGAATTGACAAGCCGGACGTGAGGGGCATCATTCACTACGGTCCCCCAAAAACGGTGGAGGAGTACTTCCAGCAAATCGGCCGTGCTGGCCGCGATGGCTTTGAAGCCGTTTGCGAGCTGATCTCTGCCGACCATGACTTTCAAACCTACAGCTCAGAGTTTTATCTGAAGGGCCTTAGCCAAGAGCAGAGCAAAATCGTACAGAACTCCACACAGCGGCTGCGTGCCTTTGCCAGCACAAGCGCATGCCGCCGGCGCTGGCTCCTGGAGTATTTCGGTGAGGAGCCGGCCTTTCCCTCCGGCAACTGCGGAACTTGTGATTGGTGCCAGGCCTCTGCTTCACGTACGGATCGTGCGGGTTCTGCAGGTGCAGGCTCCACTCGAGACTTCCGCGCGGCAGTGGCGCCGATCTTGCTCGCTGTGGCTGCCTCGCAGCGCTTCCCCCAGCCAGTCACGCAGCTGCTCACGATCATCAACGGATCCTGGAAGCCTGAAAAGCTCATGAGCATCGCAGCGTCTGTGGGGGCAGCCCAGAAGGAGATCCAGGAGATGCGCCAGGCGCTGCCACCAAAGATGAGGAAGGAGAAGGTTGTCAGAGAGCTGATCATCTCCCTTTGCGAGGCTGGGCACTTGCGGCATTGGACCGTGACGACCTCACGCCAGTTCTGCTCGAGCTTCGAGGTGGGGCATGACACCAACTTGAAAATCTTGAAAACGTCTGCAAGCTCCCTGGGTGTGTTTCAAATTTCAGCTTTCTATAATCCGAATAACCAGCTGAAACTATAATGTCTACCAGGGGTCCAGGGAAGTGACAGAACTCTCAGTGGCATAATTGCTGTGACAAATGCACTCCTTGAGGTCTACAGCTTGACGGACTCCGGTCAGGCGGCCCTGAAGACAAAGGTTCCGGTGATGCTCCCTGTCTCCCTTGCATTGCAGCAGCTCGAAGAGGAGGAGGAGCGAAAGCTCCAAGAGCGGCGGAAGGAGGTCGCCTCCTGGTCTCCGTGAAGAGGATGGCTTTTGTTTTTTCGGAGTTTGGGCCCCAACCCTAACCGCCATAACTTTCAAGCCGAGAATGGGAGAGGTGTTTGCAGTTGAGGCCCGCTTTGGGTTGGATGCTCAGAAAATGCCTGAGGAGGCCTTGGAGGAGAACAGCCCTGTGGTCTGGTACATACGGAAGCTCCAGCACTGGAAGGTTCGTGGGCTAAAAAGTACATGATTTTGCCTTTTCTTGTCACCACAGGTATCACCGCAGTTGCAATCTGACCATAGTGATATCCGCAATCAAAAGCAAAAGTCAAGCTGCCGCGTTGGAAGGACAGCGGAAAGGCTGAGCTTGTGCGCAAGGCTGAGCAGCACGAGGCGAGGTTCAACCCTTCTTCAGATTAGGGGTTGAAGGTGCGGCATTACTGTAGAGCAGCGGGTTTTGGATAGTTAAGATGTTGAGCCAAGTGAGGAGCTCCGACGCAAGATCTTGAAGTGGCGAGACGAAGCAGCCGTGCGCTTGCGCCTGGCGCCTGCCGCCGTCCTCTCTGAGCAGGCCGCCGTAGCCCTTACTTACGTGCAGCCCACCACCCTGGAAGGTGTGAGGAGTGCAGGCGTGCGCATCACCGGTGCCGAGTCCTTAGCGGCCCTGATCGCTGAGGCCAAACCGCAGGAGGAGGGTTCAGACAAAGATCTCCCTTTGAAGCAGGTTGCTCAGCAGGGAGCACAGGAGGTTCAAGGGATCCCGTCCCCCGTCAGACAGAGGGCCCGGATGCAGCTTCCGTCTGGCCTGGTAACTCCACCCAAGAAGTGGCCAGGAGCCATCTACAAGCCTGGCAAGGGTGGCACGAAGCCTCCCTGGGAGCAGTCCTATGATCGCTTCTGTCAAGGGGAGTCTCTAGAGAGCATTGCTCTGAAACCAGCATCTGGCCGGCCAATTCAAACTTCCACCGTCAGATCCCACATCATGACGGCTTGGACCTTCGGAAAGCCCGTAGATCTGAGCCAGCTTTTTCAGCAGGGCGGCTTGCCATCAGAGACGGAGTGGCTGCAGCTGGACGAAGCAGGCGCGGCAATCAAGGTGAATTTCTCTGCAGAGATCAAGCTGAAAGAGATCTTAGCCGCGGTCCTGGGAGACTCCGTAAATCGGGACGCCGCGGTGAAGTCCGAGGCTGACAAGGAGATGGAGAAGCAGTGGTATGAGCGCATAAGGGTCTGGGAAGCTTTCCGCAAGGTCGGCTTCTCGCCAACCTTCGCCGAGGAGGGGGATGTCAAGCGACAACGGCTCTAATGGCCAAGGGCGGCAAAGGCTGTCTTAGGGGGTCTAGGCTCCAGGCTTGACAGCGCGTCAAACCAGGAGATGAATCTTAGAGAGCTTAGAGCGCAGACTGTGCATCACAGTGCTGCGCAAGGGGGAAAACCGGTCGACTTTCACTCTCAGGGGGCAAAAGCCGGCAGCTTGTTGCCCTTTCGTTTTGGTTGTCAAGCCTTGGGTTCTTCCACACATCGCCTGCAGGTCAAGTGCATATGTATGGATACTTATAAATATATATATATATACGTAGAAATACACCCCTATGTACATGTATAATATACATGTGAATGAAAATGTATCTTTGTGCGTACACATTATGTTAGAATGATTTGGCATCGAGCGCAAGAGTTTTCAAGGCGGTTTTAGCCCCGATGGTAAATCCAAGGCCCTGTAAGCCCCATTTGGGCCCTCATGCGCATCCCTGCCTCACAGCCAACAACTGACACCTTGAAGCTCGAACATCGAAATTGTATACCTAGAACTGCCTAAAACTAAGCTTTGCACTCCCAATCCCACCTGCCAGGTCCAGATAGCTGGAAAGCCAGCCTTCTTCTCGCATGCTAAACTTGGCTTTGAGTTCGATGCCGAAAATGGCAGGACATGGTGATGCTTTGGGGTTTGGGGGGTTTAGGGTGTTGAGGTTTCGAGTTTGAGGTTTAGAGTTGCAGATGTTAGCTATGGTCCAGGGCGTTCTTGTTGTTATCTTCTGAGACGTGGAGCAGGTAAAGGAAGCAACGGAGATGGCTGTTGTGGGGCTGGAGAGCTGGTCTAAGTATGTCGACGTCGCAGCATGTGGTGTTCAATCGGGTCGAGTGAGCGTGCACCTTGCGGAAGAGGTGTGTACGAACTTAGTTTCAGTGTTATCTTGACTTCGTTAACGGGCGGATGACTTCAAGGTCTTCGAAGGCTTCAAAGAAGGCTCCTAAGCTGTGAAGGGAATTTAAAGAGGTGGCCTTGAAGACCTTGAAAGGGGCGTGAAGCTTCAAGATTCCTCTCTTCCCCTCTCCCTCTCCGCTTCCGCCCTCCTCTCTCAACCTCCCCTCTTAGCCCAAGTTAAGGATCACTCGATCCCAAGGTTGGAGTTGACCTGAACCCTAACCTGGGCTTGGAAGCTAAACTTTTCATTTCAGCTTTCGAAGAACTCGAACTCTAACCTCAGGTTCGGTTTGAAATTAGTTCTAACTCGGAACTTGAGGTTTGAAGTTGAGGTTGGGGTTGAACTCAAGTCTGAGCTGGCACTGAAGGTTGAGACTGGAGTTAACTTAATCACAACCCTTGACTCACAAAGTGAAAACAAAGTTGAACTCAACTTTCAGCTCAGGACCGTGGCATATTATCATATTCCCTATAATGGAGAATGAAATGGAAAAGAAAATTGAAAATGATATGGAAATTGGTAGATAATAAGGATATTGCTTTATTGGGATTCTTTAGAAGGGGGGAGATTTCCTGGATTATTGGAGAAAAGGGAGGAACGTTCAACGAGATGGGGCTTTCGGGTCCCTTCAACGGGATTCAATCGAATTTGGGGAAGACATATGAAAATAATATACGGGCATTACGAAAATCATGGCAAGTTGGGGATACGATTTTACGAATATGTTGAAGATCGAAATTTGAATTAATATCCCTTGAAATACTGATTTTCTAAAAGAAAATAGGAATTTCAATTTTGATCAAGAATATGAGAAATTAGATATATTCACTATTAGATAACGATTGGAAATACGGATTTGACGCGATTATTTGCGGCTATCTTAATTGCGCACGTCGCAGGCTTGCCGGTTTAACTAAAATACTTCTTATGGGCTCCCTAGAGATTCTAAAATCCTCGGAGCTTCTAGAACTTTTCAGAAAAGAGGCACTGAAATTTCTGAGATGTTTGAGATAGGCGATACGACTAAAAATCTCGGAGATTTTTGATCGCTTCACGCTTCTATTGATTGGATTTTCACGTGATTTCTCTTTCTTTTTAGATGCGTATAGGGTTTCTCGGCAGAAAGTATAGACCCGGCATAACCGTATTTGTCATGCGTCCCCGTATAATAGATAGCCGAAGAGAGAGATAAATAAACCGGAAGTTCAGGGCTGGAGAATTTGGGTTATAGGATCAAAAAATCTCTCTAGATTTCGAAGCATATCTATGGCCCTCATCCCTCTCAGCGATGTCCGTGGGATTCGCATCTCTTTGGATATATACGCGAATGGTCGGGAGAACGTATAGACCCGAAATAGAAAATCTAAATCTTTCAGAAAAAAGTCGTCCGCGTCTTTCTACGGGAATTTGAATAGATTCTACGTTCTCCTGAGTTACCACGTAATAATTGGCCCAACGGAGATCTCTTTGGTAATCTGTGTAGTAGATCGGCGGACTATATAGATCCGAGACGGAAAGCTAAAATCTTTTAGAATCTATAGGTTAGCCGATAAAAATACCCGTGGCTAGCAAGGAGATCATTTGCTATATTCGAATCTTACAGAGTGACCTGATGATATTCTCCTATAAGATAAGTAACTATTGCCTAACGCTTCATGATATATCAAGGGAATAGAGCCCTCAGCTCTGTCTACCAGGGAAGCAGAACCACCTCACGATTCGGGTTTAAGTGCATATGTCCGTGGTGTAGTATGGGTACGCATAAAATGAATGATAGAAGCGAGCCCACTTAGATTGATTTGGAAAAATCGTTAGAATCTGAGACGAGACGTCTCTCCAAATCCTTGGATTTCAATCTATAAATCCGTCCCTTCAGGAATATTTCTTGGAGGAGCAATTTGGGAGGAGCAATTTGATAGATATGGCAATGCACCCAAGAACGTAGTCTCCTCAGTTGTTGTTAGCCTGGTACTGTAGCCCTCAAGTTAAAAGTACCGAAACTTATTCAGGATTCGGGATATCAAATTATAAGGACGTAATTTAGAGTTCCCTATTTACGGCCATTTCAACCGCGCGCGGCCTAGCCTTTCCGGCTCACCTCAAAAATACTTCCTGCGGGCTCCCTAGAGGCTCTTAAAATCTCGGAGATTCTAGAGCCCTTCAGAAAAGCTAGAGGCTCTAAAATCTCCGAGATTTTTGGTGCCGACGACGCGAGTAAATATCTCGGAAATTTTTTGGTCGCGCGGCCCTTCTCCCCCGGAGCGGTTTTTGGCGTGACTTCCCTCTCTCTTTGGCTGCGTGCGTGGCTTCTCGGCGGAACATATAGAGCCGGGATAGCCGCATTTGTCATGCGCTCCCCCGATCCGCCGCGCACAATAGATAGCCCAAGAGAGATAAACAATAGATAGCCCAAGAGAGAGAACTAAAGCCGAAATTCTGGGCTGGAGAGTTTGAGCCGCAGGATCAAAAATCTCCCGAGATTTCGAATCATTTCTTTCTCTTTAGTTCTCTGCGGCCCTTGCCCCCTCCCAGCGGTAGGGATTCATCTCTCTTTGGCTGCATGCGCGGCTGGTCGGCGGAACGTGTAGACCCGAAACGGAAAATCTAAATCTTTCAGAATTAATATAGGCTGTCCGCATCTGTCCACGGGCATGGCTTGCATTGTTGGAGGGGTGCATAGGTCCAAGATTGCCTGACTCTGAAGCTTTTTCGAATGCTCAGGGACCTCATTCCTGTAGTAGCTCCGCTCCTAGCCCTGGTCCTGGTGCTATAGCCAGCCTCGCCTGTCTGAATATCTGCTGTTGGGCTTATTGTGTTTCTGGTTGGATTGCTCATCTCAGCCCGCTGTAGAGTCCTTGCTGCTTGGCTGGTGAACTCGGTCCTGGAAGATCCTGGACCTATGGTGGGGGGTCCTAGCATTCCTCGTGATCGGCTCCTTCAGTACCGTGAATGAGCCAGAGCTCTACCACTGTACACATTGAGGGAAAGCATCACAAAGTGTGGTGACTGTTCAGGAGGCAGCGCCCTCCGATCATCAAAATTCCGCATCTTCGGGGCCAAGTGAGTGGGAGGTTGTCGAGGAGATTTTGGAGAAGGGGGAGTTGGTCCCCTCGCGGCACGAGCCGCCTCTTCATCTTCTGCGGCGTAGTCGCCTCTCTACTGTGGGCGAGTGGACTCCAGAGCGCCGATTGGTGCGAGCCTTTGATTGGGGCAAAGCCGACGCTCAGGCCGCCTTGGACAGCTCCTTCTCAGGTCGTCAGGACAAGTTCCCCCTGGCCTCGGCTGTTTACGTCATCTTGTACGACCCGTCAGGTGAGTGGCCTCGCTACACCAGGCACGATTCTACGCAGCTGTCAAGTACGTCAAGGAGGGCAAGGTCGCAAATCGCAGTTCTCCCTGGCGACCAAGGATTGTGTCCAGGAGATTCCCCTCACTGGTGGAAGCTGAGAGCTACTTACTCGGAGCAACATGCCAGTTGCCGAGCACAGAATTTTGAGCCTCAAGTGTGCGAACGCTGCTGGGGGAGAGACCGATCTTTTGCTGCTAAAATGGCCGGCTACTGGGAACGCCTACCACCTGGCCTTGCCTTGCCGCGTTTGTCCTCAGGGCGTGATTCTAGCAATCCCAAGGGGAACCATTCCTCAGGAAACCCTCGACGAGGGGGACGATTTGGAGAGCATGATTGGGCCAGGCCGAGAAGTGACAATCCGGAGACAGGAGGGTTCGGAGGCGGACCTGCTTACAGTACTGCTGGTGGAGATGCTTCTTTCGGTACGGAACCAACTGGAATTCCGGACACCACGTTCCCGACGTCGCATTCGAGGCTTTGTCGAGGACGATGTGAATGCCCTCCCGGACCTTGCCGAGCTCAATCAGGAGATCGAAGCCTGGTTGGAGTCCAGGGGGGAGCGCCTGGAGGAGTACTTCACGGCCGAGGGCGAGGCCGACCCACCAGGGAAGGCGGAAAACCCCGCCATGCAAGCCATCTCGTTGCTGGCCGAGATTCAAGCTTCATGGAACAGCACTGGAAGGGCGTGGGAGGGTTTTGGATCAGGGCCACAGGACCGGAGCGTCCCAAGTCAAAACAACGGCTCCTGTGCCCGCAGGCGCATTGCCGAGTGGGAATGATGCAAGGCGCCAACAGATGGAGGCGGCTTTGGATCCAGCTCGCAGTCAAGTCAACCGACCTCCTCGCAGAATCCCCGACGAGCCCGGCAAGGAGACGGCCATCGACTTGGAGGAGCTCCCTGGAGTAGACAACGAGCAGGTGTCGGTAGACGACATGATGAAGATGGCGCTACTCAAGATGATGCAGCAGCAGCAGCAGCAGCAGCAGGGCAAGGCAGTCAAGAAGAAGAAAAAACTGCCGGGGCTTCCATCTCTGGATGCGGATTCGGAGTCGGACGACGAGGATTCCCTGCTGGACTGGAGTTCGAGCAGTCGAGGCGGAAGGGGGATCAACGCAGTCGAAAGGCTGTGGGGTGCGATGAAAGCTCCCCCCGAAGCGTATCAAGAGCGGATGGAGTCTCGCATGTTGAAAGCGGTCGAAGCCTCGGAGATGGTGCCAACTATCCCTCTGCAGTTCGCGAAAAGCTGTCCTGTGCGGAAGTCACGAACCGCCGGGTTCTGCTTGCAAGGCTTTGCTCAGGTACACAAGTCCCTGCTGGAAAATCGGCCCAAACAGGCCAGATTGCAGGTCCTTCGCATGATGGCTGCCATAGAACAGTTCCTCATCGACGAGTCTTGGACAGTAGCACCGGCATGGAGGAACCACCATGGGGTCATTGGGCAACTCAAGACTTGCCAGCCCTTCGAAAGTAGTTCGTCTACACCCATCTGGCCGAGTCGACTTGAATCGGAGCGCTGATCAACGAGGTCAAGGAGGAGGAGTGGCTGTCGAAGAAACGGGGCAACCTGGGGAAAGGCAATTCCAAGGGCGGAAAGTCCGACGGGAAGCCAGACAAAGATGCCAGCGGTTGAACCGCCCCCACCGTTTTCTTCGTTGCCGGCTTGGGCATTCGCAGGGGCAGGAGGAGCTCGTGCACCCGATGACTTGGCTGCAGGAGTTTTGCCAGTCCCTGGAGAATTCAGATCTGCCGCTTGCCCGGTACTTCAGAAGCACGTTTTCTTTAGCTGAAGTATCTCTCACAAGCCTAGGAAAATCTAATGAGCTTTTCCCGTGTCCCCCTCCTTACCCCTGGGTTCATGAAATAGTGACTGATCCGGGGAGGTCTCGCAAAGGTTGTCGCTGGAAACATCGTAGGGCCGTCGAGCTTTGGGTTAACCTTATGGTTTGCGGTTTGAGCTTTGAGGCAGTTCAGGTTGAGGTGGCACCTTTGCGTGGGAGAAGAGGATCCTCGCTTAGCCAAGCCCAAAAGGATATGGTTAGCTTTTTGAGGACCCTTGCACACTCTGTAGTCTGCCTGGGGAGTAAAGACCCTGGATGCGGATTGCGACTGCCCGCAACCGCTCAACATTTGGAGCACTTGCGAGAGCAATTAAAAAGTTTTGAGCAGCTGCCTTACTCGAGCCCGCACAGAGGGTTTGAGTCAGGCAATCGGGACTCAAGTTTTACGGCCACTCAGGCCTTGCCGGTAATCGCTGAGCGACTTAGTTCGCCGGAGGAAGTTTCTGACTTAGCTCCGACTCCTTTCCTGTCGGAAACCTTTCAACAGATTTATGCGAATCCTAATACCTTTTTGAAATCACCTGAGGAGATGCCGGAGCCAATCAGGGTCAAGGGGACCGCCTCGAGGAAAGAACTTCTTAAGGTTTTTGGGCGTTGGGATTCTTTGGGTCGGTTGTATGTGTATAGGAGTTCTGAGGTTTCCCCTGAAGACCGTTGTGAGTTGTTTGCGGTTGCTAAGGATGCTACCCGTGATCGGCAAATCCTGCATCGAAAGCGTAGGAATCTTAGGGAGGTTCATGTTCAGGGTGCTTCGAGGGATTTGCCCCACGGGGTGATGTTGTGTCAACTGCCGTTGGAAGAAGACTGGGTGTGCGCGGTCTCCATTGACGATATCAAGGATTTTTACCATGCATACCAGGCCTCTCGAGCTAAAAGCTCGCCCGTGGGACCTTGCTTTCGCTGGTCTGAAGCGAGACATTTGAAGGCTTATAAGCAGGCCCTGCAAGAAGGAAGGCTTCGCAAAGGGGATCGTGTGGCGTGTTGTTTTAAGGGTTTAGGTATGGGGGATCATGCTGCTGTTGACATCGCTCAGGAAAGCCATACGAACCTCTTGAAGTCTTTTGGGGCCATGAGGGATGAGGAGTTGTTGAAGTATCGCCTCCCGATGCCGAACCCCCTAGTAAATTTTACGAGGGAATTATGATTCAAGCCGAGAAAACCTATCAGTACACAAAGCTTCAAGCTCATCCTGGGAAGAGAGTGCGGCGAAGTCTGCATGCGAAGGCCGGGGGGGTCGAGCTGGAAGGAGAGCGGGGGCTGGTTGGTCCCATGAGGGGGAGGTTGCTTTCCTTGGCGTGCTTGACTGCTTCAGCCGCAGAGCCGGGGCCAATTGACATGAAGACCTTGGAGGGGATCTTGGGGCTGTGGGGCTACTGTACTCAGTTCCGGCGACCCTTGCTGAGTTTTGCCTTTGATCTGTATCATGAGGCTCCTCCGGAAGGGGTTGGAGACCCCTTCCGTCTTTCCAGGGGAGCTAGAAACGAGCTTTTGGTTCTTGCCTGCTTAGCTCCCCTTTGTGTTACGGACCTTCGGGCGATACCTGATGATTTCATTTACTGCGTTGATGCTTCGCCCTCTGGGGCTGGGGTTTGTAGGACTAGGGTCGGTCGTGAGGTTTGTAGGGAGTTGTGGCGTAGAGGGGAGAAGCAGGGGTATAGAATGCTTCTTTTGACTTCACTCTCAGCTACTTTGAAAGGCAGCGGCTGGGATGAAGAAGAGGTTGAAAATTGGCTTTCTGATGCGGAAGCCGTGCGCAATGAAGATGATGTGGCCCCTGAGGGCCAGTACATCTCTTTTGAGGGTGATTACGTCACCTTGCAGCTTTCTCGAGGCTGGAGGCCCGAGGCTGCCCTTCCGTGCCAACTTGCGGACCCTGTGTTTGACTTCCTTGAACTTTACGCAGGGTACAAACGCATGAGTGCTGCTTGGGCTCGTAAGGGGTTTTCCGTTTTGCCTCCTGTTGAGCTTAAAGATGGTTTGGATCTTAGGGATGGTGAGTTGTGTTCTGGTTTGATGCGTTTGATTCGTAGGGGAGGGGTGCGGTTCCTTTGGCGGGCTCCGCCCTAGACCACGTTTTCGTTAGCCAGGACGTCTAAACTTAGAAACTTGCAGTTGCCGTGGGGGTACGATATTCTGGATCTCGTTACTCTTCTGGGCAATTTGCGTGCGAGCCAAATGTTGCTGTTAGCGCTGCTGCAGATTTGTGTTGGACATGCATTTGCAGGAGAACAGCCTGGGTTTGGCTTCATGAGGGCTTTGCCGCCATGGCAGAAACTGATCCAGCTGGGGGCTCTTGAAGTTCTTTTTGACTGGTGTAGGTATAAACAACTTTTTCGCAAAATCGCGAGAATCATTACCAATGTGCCTGCTCTCAGACAGCTTGGTCTCCGTTGTAACCACCGGCACAAACACCGAACCCTTAAAGGCTCCGCCACTACGCAAGCCAGCGCGTACAGCGTCGCGTTTTGCGACAAAGTTGCGAGTTTGTGCGCCGCGGGGCGGAAGGGTTGCGGGGGCCCGGGTTTGGAGGTTTCCATTGGGTTTGGTGATGGGGTCATTGAGATGTAACCTGTGCGTTAC